GGCTGGAGCAGCGCTAGCAAGAGCAACGCTGCTGGGGAAGGAGCAAGGACACGGAGGAGGAAGAAGAGCAGGAGGAAGGGGGAGCGCCAGAGGTACTTACCTGGCTATGGTGGCAGCCATCTTCATCACCTTGGTGGGCGCTGCAGCAGGGAGACCCCAGCCGAGGGAGAGCTACACCAAGAAGCTTTGAGGCAGAGTCAGGCATCATGGCCTGAGCTAGAGCAGCCATAGCTGCTTTGCGTTGTCCTTTGCACAGCAGGGCAAGGCCCAAGTAGCCCGCCGTAGCCTCGGCCTATGAGAGTGAAGAGTGAGGGAGGTGGCCATGGTTATGGTGGACCTCGAGTGATACCTGCAGTAGAAGAGGAACTCGGACATTGATTCTGGATCAGCCATTCAACGTTATACTATTATTTCTTGTATGAATAAGAGAGGAGTAAAGGAGGAGGGGCGTGTTGAACGAAGAAGAAGAGCTTTGTCATTTGTCTATGCTGGTGTATGTCATCTTCTTCTTTCTTTCTTCTTCTTCTTCTTAACCTCTCTCTCCTCTCAAGTTCATTCATTTCTTGCTGCAATTGGACGGCATTATACTATCTGATGAATGTGTATCTCGAAGTTGGCCAGGATCATAACATTGGTATCGGAGCGGATTCTACTTGCTGGTGAGAGTTGACTTCTCCACCCTAACCCTAACCTAAGTGGTAAGGGCTAACCACTTAGGGTTAGGGTTGGTCCGAAGCAGGAAGTGGGGCAGCGTGGCTTAGCCGCTTAGGGAAGCTGCCCCCACCTGGTTAGGTCATGCTGGGTCGGCATTGAACCTGACCAGGTTGATTGTGAGTATGTAAGTGGTGGCGGGACACATCAAGAGGACTTCATGCGACAAGTTGAGAGAGGCGACAGTGAGAGGCACTCGCACCTGGAATCTGACCTAAGGGAGACACTTGGTGACTTGAGGGCTTCCCTCAAGTAGGCGATCTTGAGGGAAGTAGCCATTCTGCATCTACGGACTGCAAGTTACTACTTTGTTCTTCAGCGTAGGCGGGGGATCCGGCGTTGCACATTGGTGTTGAAAGTGAGACCCTTCTACATGATAGGACACTAGTGTAGAGGTAGCGAATAGGGTTAGGAAGACTACATGAGGAAGGGGGCTGAGTTATACTTCATCTCAGAGTCCGGGCCACTCAGGTAAGTGCCGTGCACCTAAGGGTCGCCAATGTATGCGTGCATGGTATTGTTTGTCCTGTTGGGGTACTTCTGGGTCTCTTTCCTACTCCTCTGAAGTCTTGGTTGTGTACATTGGTGTGCTTACTACTTACTAACCTTCTGGATGTAGAAATGAAGTATCTTACTTTGAAAGCCACATCTTCTACAGTGCTTTGTCTTTTCATCTATGACTGGATGTAGTCTGTAGGTTCTCTCTTGAAGTTGAAATTCGTTTTTCAATACGGTAGAGGCCGAAAGTAGAACTTGGGACCCAGTGGGACCCAGTGGGACCGGGCCCAAACAAGAAGGGCCTCTAGGAGCCAAATTTGTTGATGCAGTGTCACTCTCTATTCTGTCTGGGATACGATGATCTTCTTTTTTATTAGAGCCCTCGCTGCCGAGGGGATCTCGGCTGAGATGCTATGTCAGATTGACGACACACAATCCAATGCTTGACCTGCACCTTATACACCACTCAATTCTCCATTGCTGTGTGATGTTACTTGTAGTCTGGTTTGCTGTACTTTGACGGTGCCAGTTGGATTAGGCTCAAGGGGATCTTGTACTTGGTCTGACCGGACTTAGACGCGGAACCCGAACTCTCTTTTGAACATATTGTATTCTTTGATTTGTTTTCTTTGGTTGCTCTCTAAGTCCAAATATTTGCCGCTCTGGCTAGGAGTTCTATCTTCTTCTCTATACTTTCAGTCTGTTTCTTTTGTTGAAGTCCACTACATGCCCGTTGAGACGCGCGGACAAGAGAAAAAGGGCAAGAGACGCCATGGCAACTGAAGGAACTAGTGGTTCCAGCATGGCACCAGCCAAACTTTCTGATATGTTAAAGGCTCGCATGGATGCAGCGTTAGAAGCTGATAAACCCCTGTACGAGGCCCTCTATCAGAAAGAGTTGGCTGAGGAGGAGAAGGCGGAAAAGGCAAAGCGGAAAACAGCCGCTGATGAACTTGAGGCCATTTTTCGAACGGTTCCGAATGTATCCGATGCAGACCTTAAGAAAGATCTGGTTGTGTATGCGCATGCCCTTGTTGACTACCATTTTCTCAGCGAACTTCCAAGTGTGAAGTCCCAATTACTTGAAGAAATGAGTAAGATGCGTACTCAAATGGCAGACATGGCCACAGAGCACCGTGATCAGATCCAGCAAATGGCAGCTATGCATCAGACCCCACTCTCAAGTTCTCTTCCTCGTTCTACCTTTGCACCCCTCCACTCCTCACCTTCTTCTCAGTCTTCTTCATTGAGTTTGGTGATTCAGTCAGGACCTGCGACAGGTGCAGTTCCCACTGCCGTTACAAGCGGCAGCGCAAGAAGTTCTGCAACTGCCGCAGCCCTGTAGAGTAGGGGACAAAATGGTTTGCTGTTTGATCCACTTTTCAAGTTCTCATGATCCGAGAACACTTTGGAGTGGCGTCCAAAAAGATAGTGCTTCCAGTGATCCAAAGCCATACGCAAAGCATAGAGCTCGCGCATGTAAGTGGAAGTGGCTACCTTTTCGCTGGGCATGCGTTTGCTGTAGTATTCGAGCGGCCGTAGACCATCGTCGTCATCTTGCTGCAGCACTGCACCAATCCCGTATTGGCTAGCATCCGTAGTGACTACGAATGTTAGTTTGGAATCTGCAATGCGAAGTACAGGGTAACTTACCAAGGCATTTTTTAAGGCTTGAAATGCGGTCTCACATGTTGCATCCCATGCGTAAGGTACATTCTTACTAGTCATTCGGGACAACGGGCGAGCAACAATAGAGAATCGGGGCACAAACTTCCAATAATATGACGCGAGACCAAGGAAAGAACGCAGCTCGCGAATGTTCGCAGGTTGTGGCCAGTCTCAGTCTAGGGCCTGTACGGGCAATATCAGAGTCTGCAATGATGTTTCCCTCCGAAAGGGAGGAGGTACCGGTTGCTGGGAAGGCCGAGCGGCCTGGAAATCACCGCCCAAGAGGCAAGCAGGCCGCTATATCTCCAGGTCGGGCGAAGAGCCCACAGCCTCATTGCCGGTGTGCAAGTTTGGTGACACACTGGTTGGAGCGCTGGCTGGAGCAGCGCTAGCAAGAGCAACGCTGCTGGGGAAGGAGCAAGGACACGGAGGAGGAAGAAGAGCAGGAGGAAGGGGGAGCGCCAGAGGTAGTTACCTGGCTATGGTGGCAGCCATCTTCATCACCTTGGTGGGCGCTGCAGCAGGGAGACCCTCAGCAAGGGAGACCCCCGCTGAGGGAGAGCTACACCAAGAAGCTTCGAGGCAGAGTCAGGCATGGCGACCTAAGCTAGAGCAGCCATAGCTGCTTTGCGTTGTCCTTTGCACAGCAGGGCAAGGCCCAAGTAGTCCTCCATAGCCTCGGCCTATGAGAGTGAAGAGTGAGGGAGGCGGCTATGGCTATGGTGGACCTCGAGTGATACCTGCAGTAGAAGAGGAACYCGGACATTGATTCTGGATCAGCCATTCAACGTTGTACTATTATTTCTTGTATGAATAAGAGAGGAGGAGCAAAGGAGGAGGAGAGTGTTGAGTGAAGAAGAAGAGCTTTGTCATTTGTCTATGCTGGTGTACATCATCTTCTTCTTTCTTTCTTCTTCTTCTTCTTCTTACCCTCTCTCTCCTCTCAAGTTCATTCATTTCTTTCTGCACTTGGACGGAATTATACTATCTGATGAATGTGTATCTCGAAATTGGCCAGGATCATAACAGTATTACTTTGACTTGACTCACTCAGATGCGTATTTTCCTCCTGAGGTGTTGCGATGGTATGGTGCATGGTATAGTATCATGCTGGGAGTAAAAGTAAATGTGTTTCATCACACACACACACACACACACACATCCCGGGGGAGGGGGAGCGGGAGGGGCCAGTAGCAGGAGGGACCTGTACACAATAAGAAACTTCACCCAAGGTGAGCAAACCCCTGCTGCTCTCACTCAAACACGGTCACTCTGTCAGGGCGCGGCATACCGGAGGAATGGGGAAGCAAGCCATGCAAAAACAACTGCTCAATACGCACCAGAAGTAGCCGGACAACTCTATACACAACAAACTCCCATCTGAGGTAGGTAAACAACCCCCTGCTGCTGTTTGCAATGTCTGTGTTTCCTGCGGGTGATGACAGATGTTCGTCTGAGTGACTCCCTGGCTAACGGGTGGTGGGAACCAGCAGTCTGCAGCGTTCAAAAAAAAAATAAAAAAAATAAAATCTGCTGCTGTCATTGAACTGTGCACACTCCGTCAGGGCGCGACATAACACAGTCACCATCTTTTTTATATGACCCCCCTCCCTCTCTTCCCCACCTGCTGCCTGTGCCTACTACAGGGCTTGTGGGACCGAGACGCCCAAGGCTAGCCTACACGACTGCCGACCAAAAGCTCTATGCAGGCTCCCAATCCCGTGGGAACCTCACGACACATACAGGGAAAACAGGTGGGGTTCAAGTCCCCCTGGACGCAAACCCCAGCCCGTGCCAACAGCGAACACATAACTTATAAATAGGGGTTCTGGGGATCACAACCTCGTGGTGTCCACAGGGTACACTTATGCAACTGTTAATCGACAGATCATCAGCCCAAATCCTACTAGGGCCAAACCCATTGCATTGACATTTAAGCACAAACAGACATAGTTTGGGATGGGCCCTGGTAGCCTTGGGCCCTTTGCTTGTGGTGGTGGGTAGCTGAGATCACGTAAGGGATTGGTGTTACACAGTCAAACCCACCTGACCATGTGCCTTGAGTCCTGTCAGGGCGAAGATCTCGTTTGCTGTGAGTGAAGCGTCCGTCATCTTGCGAAGAGCTGATAATGACTCGCCGCCTAAGGCCCTTGCTTCCCGTGCAATCTGCTTCAAACTTCCAGCCACCTTCTGTGCAGAGGTTTCTGCTGGCTTTGCAGCAGCACCACTTTTTGAAGCCGTCTTCTTGTTTCCTGCCGCCTTATCGATGATTTCATCTTCACAATCTGTTTTTTGGCTTTGTTCAGCATTCTTCAGGCTTGCAGCACCTGCCTCTTCGGGCCTGGACACTGCTCCACCTCCTCCAGCCGCCTTCTGTGCAGAAGCTTCTACTGACTTTGCAGCAGCACCACTTTTTGAAGAAGTCTTGTTCCCCGCCGCCTTATCGATGATTTCATCTTCGAAATCTTTTTTTTGGCTTTGTTCAGCATTCTTCAGGCTTGCAGTACCTGCCTCTTCGGGCCTGGACACTGCTCCAACACTGGAATTGGAATCTTCACTCTCTTCATTGATTGCAGCTGCATCTGCATCCTCCTCCATATTTTCCCTTGCTTTCCTCGCCTCAGTCTCTATTCTCTCATACACTATCCTTGCACGGCGAGCTGCATCATGTAGTCCTTTCCTATCGCCACATGCCAGCGCTGCAGCAGCCATCACAACAGTTCTTGGCGACAGCTCCGCGGCTGCCAGATGGAAAGCTGCGAGTGCAACCCTGAAGTAAAATGATGTAAAAAAAAAAAATGTCAGACAAACATAACGCATCCATATTTCCACAAAATGCGACAGGATAAATGTGGCATCAGTCACAGTAAAGGATGAGGGTCGATCCCCACTTGTGCTATGTTCATGCTTGTGTGTAAATCATGAACCAGAAATAACCGCCAAGTTCATGCTTTCATAGCATGACGTGCCACGAATATAACACCATTGGGGCGTGTGTGGCCCTCAGTGGATTCACTGCCTCGCAGCAACACCAAAATTTTCACTAACATCTTATCCTAACAAGTGCAAATCGTTTTTTTTTTTTTTTTTTTTTGTTGTTGTAAACCACTAGTACCTTTGCCGCGTGGGAAAATAGCGGGCCTCGGGTGGSCCTCCGACCTTTTCAGATGGCCGAAACGAAATGACCGCCGCCAATCAGATTTATCAATGGCAGCCGTCGTCGGGCCCGGCCTCCGAATTTTCAGGAGTTTGGGAAAACTGCCAGTTTTCCCTAATTTCCCAACACTGGGCGAGGTACTAGCAAGTGCAAATCAAACTTGTGGATACCCACTTTTTTTCAGGGCACATAATCCAATCCAATCCCAGCAAAAAAAGACAAAACAATGTATGCTGGCGTCTGTGACAACACACATTTTCTCTCTTCTTGTTCTATCTACACGAATAGCAGTTGGGCTTAACACTCCCCATTCCTCGTGCACAGGGATGGCGCACAGTACGTGGGGTACTATGCCCCCGCAACCTCCCAGGGACAACCCACTTCCTCCCACTTTCTTGTGTGCGAAGCACCTTATGCCCCCACTTGATGCTCTCCCACTTCTGCATGCGAAGCATCCTACAACCTCCTTCCCTTAACCCATTTTGTGTAAAGCATTCTTGCAATCCTTGCAATAATCCCTTTTATAACCTCTTGAGCAGGGGACGTTAAAGCCTTCCTCAAATATTCCCTTCCCCCTCCACCATGTATGGAAAGCATCTTGTGACCCCAGCTCCTCTCCTCCCTCTCTTGGGTGTAGGAAACATATTGCGCTCCCCCTTCACACTCCCCATCCACCCCTCATGCATGCAAACCATTGTGGGATGAATTCCCTTCACACTCCCCATCCACCCCTCATGCATGCAAACCATTGTGGGATGAATTCTCAAAAAAAAAAGAGAGAGAGAGAGAGAGAGAGAGAGAGAGAGAGAGAGAGAGAGAGAGAGAGAGAGAGAGAGAGAGAGAGAGAGAGAGACATTGATTCGAACTTCATTCCATGGTTGCCCCTGTCATACAGCACTGTGACCTCGGATGTAGCTGCCAGGGACGTCGGCACAGGTGTAGCAAGTCATCTGGCAGATAAAAATGCCATTAAATTCAACTAAGCAGAGCAACAATCACCCTCAACCTCAACCTCAACCCTAATACTTGACCCTCTATTCTCCGAATTTGCAAGATGGATGGAAACCAATGGGTGAGGCAAAACTTCCAAGAGTAAAGCACCCACCAAAGTGCACCATGGCAAGGTCTATCTGGTGAATTTACTTGATCCAGAGTTCGCAAAAGATCCTGTTGAGCGCACACACGCACATGGACACAAAACACACAAACACGTGCGCACGCACAGACAGACAGACGCACAGAAAACACAGGTGGAGAATGTAGGCAGTGTTAATTTGAGGGCTTTAGGTTCTGTCAGCTTCATGCGGTCCAGACATTGTTAATTTATTAGGCAGTGTCTTTGAGCTCTCAACACCAGAAATTATTTCTTCCTCTACTCTGTGGCATGCTAGCATACGTGCGTTGGGTGCATGCGACGGTGCAGTATTAGACCTGATCAAGGTGAGACACTGTGTCATGCTGTGACATTTCCGCATGTTTGCAGCAATTTATGTCCGTGTACGTAATTCTGACGATTTATGTACTCGATATGGTCATCGAAGTTAGCGTGAGGGTAACCCTGATCTGAGTCTCCAGGAGGAACTTACCAGCAAAAAGGCAAACTTGGAGGGACAAGTTGAAATTCAGCAGTGGCAAGGTGCATGCGACGGTGCAGTATTAGACCTGATCAAGGTGAGACACTGTGTCATGCTGTGACATTTCTGCATGTTTGCAGCAATTTATGTCCGTGTACGTAATTCTGACGATTTATGTACTCGATATGGTCATCGAAGTTAGTGTGAGGGTAACCCTGATCTGAGTCTCCAGGAGGAACTTACCAGCAAAAAGGCAAACTTGGAGGGACAAGTCTGAAATTCAGCAGTAGCAAGAAAAGAGGTGAGGTCTCGGAGAGGTAAGCCAAAATAGGATGCAACAGGCATACCGATGGGAGTTTTCCATGTCAAGAGTAGGAAGTGCAATCAGACTCGTTTTCAAACACACTTTTCACACATGTAAACAGTAACGCAGCATACTGGCGACATGCGCCCACTCAAAACTCAGAGATATGGTTTTCAGATACGA